AGAGAGAGAGAGAGAGAGAGAGAGAGAGAGAGAGAGAGAGAGAGAGAGAGAGAGAGAGAGAGAGAGAGAGCAAAGTGAGAAGAAGAGGGAGTGTATCCTTCGTCAGGTGATCCAATCATCAACAAGAGAAGGAGGGGGTTAGCGCATCCCCTGAAGCGCTTTTCTTCGCCTGCGTCATTGGACGGCTCATCAGCGGGTATGTGGGCATGGAGCCCAGTCTCTGTGAGGTGGGGAAGGAGTTGGAAGAGGAGGAGAGGCCGAGGGGGAAGGGAAAGGGGTTTGTGATCAACTAAGAAGGCTTGTACGTCTGCAACTGGTCCAATTAGCAGTTAAGTAGGGTCTTTCCTTCGTAAATTACTGAGGTGAAGGCGAGCAAGGAGAGACACGGAGGGGACGGAGAGGGAGGAGGGAAAGGAGGGGGACAGTAGGTATGGTATGGGAGGGAGGGGAGGATTGGTGGTAAGTGTTACGAGAGCATAGCTGCATATATGTGGGGCATGGAGATGGAGTCGAAGGTTGTCACTCACCGCGTGGGCATTGATCTCCGTATCAGTGGCGAATTCTTTTGTTGCATTGGCCATGGCGCGAGATGCGGATTGAATCTTAACCTTCACTGAGGGAGGTGGTGCGGTTTCAATCGGGGGGAGCGGGCAAGTGGAAGAGAAAGAGGAGTAAAGAAAGAATGGAGTATCCTCCGTTCGTGTGAGTCATTGGTGGGGAGTTCACAATCGAATCCGAAGGGAGGCAAAGTAGAGGTGCATGAGCACGAGTCCACTGTGAATGTGAGGAGGAGATAGAGGTGCGGATGGCCGCTACTATAGTAAGGTTTTGGTTAGGGAAGGTGTGATGCGAGGGTGGGTGAGGAGGGATGGAGGAACAAGGTGGGAGCGTGAGGGAAGGCATCAGATCCATAGTGGGTGAAATGTGGGTGCAGAAGTTGTCCGACTGGGTTGAATGACCGAAGGGAGTGAAGGGGATGGTGGGGTATTGGAGTGTGGAAGCTGAATTCAGGGTTTTGATTTTAGCGCCGAAGCAAGTGCGTTGGTGACATCAGTATCAGCAAGCATTTGCCCGGGGCAGGAGTTTGGATGCATCGTAGTGAGCAGGGGAGTTTTTTGTTTTCGAGTGTCGGCGTCTGGGAGAGACGGAATGGGGCAGGTCGAGGTATTGTCGCTGTTTTTTGGGAGCTAGTGCGGCGGGTATGGTGGATGGTTGCTGGTCTATTGTATGGAAGTCTCATATGATTATGGTTCAGTCGTGGTTTGCTGGGATCGGCGGGCCCACGTTGTGCTGCCTTGTTGTGGGCTTGTCCGGGAGTGGCGGGGTGGGCAGGATGAAAGAACGTTTTCCTCAATCGTAAGGGACAGGGGAAGGCGGAGTAATGTCTAGGGTTTGGGTGGAACGTCGTGGGGTTGGTTGGACGTATGTACTAATATAGGGTACTTTCAATGGGAGGGGCCTCAGTGCCATGAAAAGTTTAGATTGGAAACTCCTCTCCCCTTTTTTGGGAAAACAGAATTTTCAGGGCTCTTTTGAAGGGGTAGTAGTCATAAGGTATTTGGTGGGGTAGTAGGAGGGGGGCCTACAAGTACGGGCCCCGGAGGGAGTAATGTTGTGTATTCCATTGTTCTAGCTGGGAAAGGCCTCAAGATGGGTCTGGTTCTTTGTTGTGTTGAATTTGCGAAAACAAAAGGGTTCCGGTGTACCTAATTGCCAGTAAAGAAAAGTGGGGGTTATTTTTTTCTATAGTGTGTGTGAGCCCTTATGTATGGGGGTTCTTTGGTCTGTAAATTCATGTATGTTTGTATATTTGTATGTTCGTGTGTGTGTGTGTGTGTCTGTGGGTGAGTGTGTGTGTGTGTGTGTGTGTGTGCGTGTCACATGTGATCGATAGCACAAGTCCATGAGGGTTTTTTCTCACATATTTGGCGACCCTGTGCACTGTATGTTTTTTCTAACATATTTGGCGACCATGTGCACTGTAGGCTTTTAGTCACCTATTTGGGGACGAGTAGCACAGGTCCATGAGGGCTACCGGTAACAGAGTGGGGGAAACTGGCAGAGTGGAAAAATTGGAAAATGCATCTAATTGCCCCCGCGATTTACTTTGTGGTTGAAATATTTTTTTTATTTTTTATGTAAAAAATATATATTTTTTTTCCTAGAAAGATCACGATGAAATCTGCATACCCTACAATGTTCAGACTTCTTTGATATATTGTATTAGATGGAAAAACCGTTGAAGTCGGGGTACTTTTCTCATTGGCTGACACATGATAAAGGAGCAAAAAACATCAAAAATGGAAGAAAAGGACGAATTGGCGTGGCATTTATTTCACGATTTTAAACCATGAGCACCTACCACGTTTTTAGGCGTTAACGCGAAGGCTGAATTTGTGCGTCGCGCAGGTCCATATGCATTTGTGTAAGAGGGGGCCTAAGAGCCCGTGGGGTACTGGTGGTTTTTTTTTTTTTATAAAAATTATTTTTGGAAATATCACGACCAAATCTACAAGCTCTTCAATTTTCAGAGTTCTGGAGTCATCCTTCTGAGCGCAACAAATCGCGGAAGTTGGGATATTTTTCCCATTGGCCAACACGTGCCAAAATGGCAAAAATGAAAAATGCAACAAAACGACGTGACATTTATTTCACGGTCGAATTTTTTTTTGTTTTCATTTTTTTATATGTTTCCTGGAAATATCACAACCTAATCTACAGGATCTCAATTTTTCATATTT